TTTGTACACGGACTGTTTTAGCCCACAATTTCTCTCATTACCGGATATTTTTCCCATATGTAAGCTTATATAATCTTGCCTACTATGCTAGCCGGTCATAAGCTGAGAGAAGAGTAGAAGTTTGGTTTGGGTTTAGCGACCCCACAAATTCGTCAGGGAAGAGCCTTGGGGAAGTTAAATTTTGGTGAAAGCAAAAGTCAACGAAGGGATATGGCATGTTTGACGCTATTAAGGCCGCACAGACTGCAGAAGAAATGAAAAGATATGGTATAGAAGTGCTAGGAATTTGTGAAAGCAGGTGGAATGGAAGTTTACTCTCCAGATTTTTAACTGGGTGTCAGTAATCTACTCCGGTCATCCAAACCACAACCAAGGGCACACAGAAGGTGTAGCTGTCATGATGCCGCAAGCAGCATCAAAGGTTTCTATGCAGTAGGAATCAATCTCCTCTAGGATAATGACAGCAAGATTCAACTCAAAGGGAAGGAAAGTTATAATTATTCAATGATACGCTCCTACAAATAACACAGACCATGGTTGAGAAGAAAGACTAAAACATACTGAAAACAGTAGTCGACAAGACTTCAGTCAGGTGACAGTATCGAAATTCTGATGGATGGTGTAAATGCCAAATCGGGTGCAGTCAAAATACGAAAAGAACTCATCATGGGTAGAGAGGCACTCATTTGATGGAATGAATGACAACAATGAGTTCTTGGCAAACTTCTGCACTTTCGTTGATTTGGTGATTGCAGGTAGCGCGAACAAGCACGAAGATATACACAAGATGACGTGAGTTTCACTAGATGGACACACCAAAAATCATATGGAATTCATCTCAATCTCGAGAAAGTGGGGATGTAGTCTTCTGGACACAAGATTTAAGAAGAGGTAGGTTCAAATCACGATTTTGGTGCAAAGAACCTTCGAAATCTAGTTGAAATCTTCCAAAGATGCTGGAGATCGATCACAAATAATGGCTCGCTATGGACAGCTGGAAGCTGTTGGAGGAGAAAGGGACGATAAAGCAGGAGATAAACCAGTGCAGAGATGAACACTGAAAACAGATGAGTTTAGTATACAGAACACTGAAATAAGGAGTGAATAAGTGTTAGGAAAAACAAAAGATACTTTAACGACACACTGGCAACACAAGTAGGACAAGATACAGGTAAGGAAATGACGAAAAACTGTAGGGAATTAGCTCCGTCTTTATATGCAGTAACACTATGTCATTTGACATGCTTCAGATTATTACTTTAAATGCAAATCCTATGCGAAGACAAAATATTTTGGAATGCTGAAAATTTCTACACCATATGTTCACATAATGTCCAAAGTAAAGCTTTATTATTATTATTATAACCTAATTACGGCCAAGTTAAACTTTAGGCATCAGTAAGTATCAGTAGGGTGTGATCGCAACAGTGACCTTGAAACGCCCAGTGAGCAATTTACTGACACCTGATAAACAATGTTTTATTATTGAATAAAATATGCTTAATGAAGTATTACATTATTAAATAGGATATTTGGCAATTTTCAGATTTGGTTTGTGAAAGATTGAGTTAAGGTGGGGGGCAACATTAGAGGTGCTTCGAGTTAGATTAAGGTTAGTTTAGGGATATTTTCACGTTAGAGTTAGGTTGAGGAGAGATTATGGTTACTGTTAGCGCTAGAAGACCTATATAATTACATGCATAGAATGTAGTTAAACTAATCTGTTGATACTCCAATACAAAACTGAGAGGCGTTCTTCTCGCATGTTAAAGAAAGGTATTCTGTGTAATAGTCTTATGCCTTTAAACTCATCATTTTCATGAATACATGTAATTGTATACGCAAATATGGCCCTTATCATGTGGTCGGTGCGCTCAAGGTCACTCAAATGCTGATACACCTTGGTGCTTAAAGTTTAACTTCTCCCTAATTACCATAGACGAGAAACAAAGGAAACTCTGGGCTGACTCTTGAATAGATTGAAGATGCCGGTTATAAATTTCAAGAAAGCTGATTGATGAACAATGAATGTTCTTTTCGATAACTTTATCATCAGCTTCTACAGTTTTGTATCCGTAATAGTTAAAAAAATTATTTACAGGATTTTCATCATGAGCTGACATTAGTTATAGAACCATTGGGAAACCTGGGAGTACTGGACAGCTGTTTCGTCCTAGTTTGGGACTCTTCATCAGTACGCGCCCATTGAGATTGGAACCCAGGACCTTCCGGTTACAAGGCGAGCTCATATACCACTAAGCCACTGGGTTCGAATCCCGGTGGGCGCGTACTGGTGAAGAGTCCCAAACTAGGACGAAACAGCTGTCCAGTACTCCCAGGTTTTCCAATGGTTCTCTAACTAATGTCAGCTCATGATGAAAATCCTGTAACCAATCAACCAAATCCCTACAACCCACACTTGAAAAAAAATATTGTTATTGACAACACTGATGTCTTAAATAACGTCAGATCATTAAGACCAATAGAATACAGTTCAAAACATGCTCATGTGATAATATGCATAAACAAGACAATAAATTGAACATCAGGTGAACTAAAAATAGTAATAGAGAATTGATGGGTTCTACAGAAGGCCATGGTGTCAGTAGTGTCTGAGCCTGTTTCTTTTTCATCCAGAGCTCTGCTTATTTTAGTTTTTATGCGATGGCCTTTACTTTTTGGAGGATCCGGCCTTTGGCAATTTACTTGGTAGCTGATAGGTGATAGAAAAAGGTCTGTTTAGACCAAGTGATCTAATATCGAACTTTTAATAATTTCCTTTACCTACTTGGGCAGCATCGTTTCAACTACAGGCAGACGGAACTGATGATAGTATCAAAGCGAGGATCGAGAAAGCAAGACAAGCTTTCATTACTCTCAAGTCTGTGTCGAGGTCAATAGCACTCAGCATGAAAATGAAAATAAGATCCGGATTTTGAACTCCAATGTGAAGTCAGTGCTACTTACTATACGGATAAGAGACTTGGCGCCACGCCATGTCACGAAAGACACTTCGAACAAAATACACACTTTCATCAACAGCTGTCTTCGCTCATTACTACTTAAGATCAGATGGCCGGCCAGAAAATATCAGCGACAGGGAGGAATCTCTGGCAGTGAGCGAACTAACCTAGTAGGAACTGACTGTGCAACAAACATACAGGAAGAAATAGAGGTGGATTGGCCATACACTAAGAAAACAATCCATCAAGTGACATCACAAGACAGGTCATCGCTCGAGTGGGATCGTAATGGGTAGCGGCGAGTTGGTCGTAAGTGTGAGGATAGGGTGACATGGAGGAAGTGATGTGAAGAGGAGATGAAAGCATGTAAGCGGACGTGAATCCAGGTGAAAACACTGGCAGAGAATCGAACACAATGAAAACGTGTGACTGAAGCCCTGTGTTCCTTTAGGAACTAAAGGAAACAATAATATTAATAATAATTTCTATTGCAACTTTATTTAGCCACACGGTTATGTGATTCTGTACACGAAAAATTAAGTTCATAGAGAAAAGGCATGTACAACTGGCTCCACTGGGGTAGTTGGAATGACAGATACAAGAAGAAGTAGCTAGCCGTGAGGTAATTGGGCAATTATCACAACATTATGGATTACAGTACCTCACACATATATAAACTTCACTTAACAGCTATATGTTGATGCCACATATTAATTAGTTCACGACGAGAAGCCTACCAGAGAGTTTGAAGTGAAGAAAGGAATAAGACAACGCTGCTTACTATAACCAGTGGTCTTCCTGACTGTAGTGACCTGTAGCATGCAGCAAGTCGTAGGAAGATGGGCATACGTTAGATTAAAGAAAAGACTTTAGAAGATCTGGATTTTGACGATGAATTATGTTTTATGTTGCACAAAGTGGAGGATTTGCAAGTTCAGTCGAATAAGTTGGCAGAGGATCCAAGAAAAGCAGGTTTTAAGGTGAACATGTAACGACAGAAGGCAAGAGTCAGGCAACAGATCATTTATTAAGGAAATCAACGCATATTTATATATTTTCATGTACATTACTATGGATATTTAAGTAAACAAACACAGTCTTCCGATTGGTTGTTTCTCACGTAAAGTTAATCTTTCATCTATTTGTGACTGTTTCTTGAATGTCAAATCCTCTATATGTTAACTGTATCCGCCTACGCAAAGTCTGCTGTGGTCGGTTTTGAATCAATCTTTTTTCACACTTTCTCACGACAAATCTTGGGAACGTAAATATTGACGTAAATTACTGTCTACCAATTTGGCTAGTAGACAGCTCTCACCACAAACATATAGAAGGCAGAGGTGCTAGAAATACCCGACGAACAATAGCAAGCACTGACCACCGTCAACGGATGAAATCTAAAGAATTCGTACCCTTCAATTATATAGGCACTATCCTCTGAATAAGGATACCAAGGCCAGGATCAGAAAGGAAAGACAGATATTGATTACTCTAAAATCAGTGTGGGGACCAACCACAAGGAGCATAATAGACAAGATTCGGACTTCCAACACTAATGTCGAATCAGTGCATTTATATGCTTCAGAAATTCGTGCGCGCAACACTAAAAGCACTTACAAAAGACTGGAAGACTCTCATGAACAGCTGCCTCCGGTAGATACTAAAGGTGAGATGGTGGGTTGAAAAGAATAGGCAACAAGGAGCTCTCGAAACGAACCAGCCAGGAACTTAAAGTCCACCAAATAAAGAGAAAGAAATGAAGGTGGACTTGACACGCGCTGAGACATCTCGTACCAGGCAGTTCCTCTAGTGAAACGCGAATGGATTTCGACATATGTCGAATGGTGACATGAAGGAGATCATGTGAACAGGAAGTGAATCGTGGAACCAGCTGAAAGTGATAGTGAAGAGTCGAATACAATGGAAATGTGCCACTGAAACTCTATATTCCACGCGGTACGCAAGGAATTGATAGTAACAGTAATAAGTGTACGTTTACATATCTCAAAAGATTGTAACAGTTATGAAATAACTTACCTTTACGAACATTATGAACTGATACTGGTTTATTCCCACAAACTCTAAATCCATAACCATATTCATCTCGTTGAACAATAGTTCGAAATTCAAGAGTTACACTTTGACGATTCATTGTTGGTCTTGTAAGATTTTGATCTACTTTTAAATTTTGTGGTGATTTTTCAATTTCCTTCTTTTGTTTGTCATAATTATTATTACTAGTTTGAATATCCATGACCTCGTCTTTTACTTCAAGCTTTTTATTGATATCAGGTTCAGTTTCTTCAACTGGAGATGAATCTGCTGTACTATAACGGCTTGTTGAACTGTTCTCATCATCATCATCTTCATCGTCACCAGGCTTGGAATTTTGATTTTTGCCCATTGGAGGTGAATTACGCTTAACTTCATTCCTTTGCATTATTATTGTATTAGACTTGTCGCCCCCGGGTGTTCCACGTCGAGTTGAATCACTGAATTTACTGTTTTGACTGTACAATGAAGCAAAATTGTACATGTATGCAGGATTTCTATGCATTTGAGGGTCGAAATTGTTGGCTGACAGCCTAAGACTAAGTAGAAAGAACAAAAATTAAACAGAAACAAGTTAGAATACAGATAGTCTATCAAATAATAGTAACACTATGCATACACATATAAGCAGAGTATTTGTAGTGCACCTTGAATGTTTGAACGTTTTGTTTTAACGCATTCATGTGATATAGCGCCACGCCATCTTTGTTTTTTTCCGGCGTGACTGCTCGCACGTGGCTCGCTCCCTCGTTGAGCTTGCTAACGCAGTCAGTTAACAGATAAGTTGTACAACATTCTGATTTATTAAATATGACATTCAGTCTGTGTTAAAAATATAATTCTCATCAGGGCACACTACCGAGTGACAAGCCTTTTCGCTTCGAGTTGTTAATCGTTACTTACACGTTTGGTAGAGTACTGATTAGGGTATTCAGAGGAGAAGTCTTCAGTAAGTACGGTTAATTAAGGTCTACCTTAAGCACTGAAGATCAGATGGCCGAGAAAGAATCACCAACAAGAAACTATGGGAACAAACAAAACAAGAACTAATCGCCCAACAAATATGCAGGAGAAAGTGGAGATGGATTGGACACTCGCTGAGCTGAGGAGGCCGCTGAGTGACATCGCGCGTCAGGCCATAGCTCGAGTGGAACCCGAAAGGGAAGCGGCGAGTGGGACGTCCAAGGGTGACATGGAGGAGATCGTGTGAAGAGGAGTTGAAACAGTATGGACTAACATGGATGCAGGTGAAAAGTACAGCAGAAGACAGAAGCAAGTGGAGACGTGCAGTTGAAGCCCTATGTTCCACTAGGAACCCAAGGGAACAATAATAATAATTATTAAGTGCAACCAGCAACTTATATATTGATAGATCATACTGTATGAACGATTTAGTTGGTATAGCTATCATAGTCTTTTGAGATAACATCAACAGATTATTTATTTTATGAAAAAAGGCCTCCAACAGTGTAACATTAGTCGGGAGATATTTTAATCATTTGCGTTTAATAGACACTGGACTGGGGAGTGAAGCAATTCCACGAAAAGGGAAAACATTTTCGCCCTTTCTTTTTAAAGAGAATAACCCATTTTTGGATTATCAGAGAAAGTGAAAACAAAACTGTAACTGATACATATTCAGCTAACAGAATTTTTCTTCGAAAAGGATGGAATTTATTAGTTCATGGATAAAAATAAAATACAACTTAGTCATAACTTCACATTCGAACAAATGTTCATCTCACCAAAATAATATTTGTAAAGTGTAAGATGTTGACGCAGTTTTATTCGACCTCATATAGAAAGCATTTGGGTCGACTTGTTGCATCTAAATGAATTCCTGGTGTATGCCTACAAATGCATATGTGATAACATATAGGTGTATGTTTATAGGCAAGATGCCTTCTAAAGAAATTAAGAAACAGGAATAGTCAGCAATAGTTTCTTAAATGCGGATATGTTTTAGCTGGTTTTTTTCTGAAAAACGTCTGACAGCGAATTTCGAAGCTGACTTGTGAACAGAGCATAGTCTTGACGACAATTTATGTCCTTCACTTTTATATCCATATAAATTAGTTAAAAAATAATTGCAGTTCAATGACAGAAGAGCTTACGTAATATAAAACGCTTAAAATTAATGGTGAGAATAGGAGACCTAACTCCTCAATTGTGAAACATATTATAGAGACAGAACATAAAATTGACGTTAACAGATCTTTGAGACCTATCTATAAAACGTGTTTGGGGCGTATACTAAAGTTTGTGGAAGCCCTAGCAATTAGGAAATTCACACTACCTTTGTATTTTCGAAAACAATTCGTCATCACATTAAACCTTCCTTGTTAAATTTTGTTTTGATACAATAGCAAATGTACTGTTACCTCTGTTATTTGATTTATTGATCTTTATTGTTATTTTGACCTTCAATATGTCTTTTTAACTTGACCTAAGTCTATTTTCTCACCTCTTAACTCATTATTAATTTCATATTTATTCCTATGACAAGTCCGTGTGTGATCAGCTTGTTCGAAATGTGTTGCGCAAATACGTTACACGATTCAGACAAATTACGTCTTCTTAGAAATCGGCCGCACGCAACGTCAATCCACAAACGTATTCTGGAACACTGCCCAGCTTGTTTATCCAGAGGAGAAAAGAAGAATAGCAACAGCTCGATCCTCGAACACCTTGTCATCTCTGGACATCGAGCACCCCCACATGAATGCCTCACAGTGTTACACAGAGTACAAAGGGACTTCGGATACGCCATCTGTACATAGCTGAAGCATTAGCTATTCAAGATCTGAAACCGGACCTCTGCATTCAAAAGCGATACATACATTCTCTCGCCCTACCATGGCCAGGGTAAAGTTCTTACCACAATATTGCTTCTTTCCCTTATTATGTAAGTTCACTATTATTATTATCATTATTACCATTATTATTAATACTTTTATTATCATTATTATTCCCATCATCCACATTTTATTACCACTCTATTCCTGTTTATTAATAACATTGCTTTTCATACATATTTTAAACAAAAACACATTATAGCCTTTCCACTAGTTCCTGTCCATTTTACACGAGCTTATTGATTAGTTATTATCTCACACTTATTACGTCATACCAACTTCTGTCTCCTTTCTAACTTACAATTAGTCATCCCTTCTTACACCTTACATTATGTAATACAATTTTCCAAGGATAAAATTTACCAGTATCTGATTGGTCTAGAGATTTCTTTGTTAATTATAATTACGATTGTACAGCTCATGAAAATGAATCGTCGAAAAGAAAATTTTATTCGCTGTTTGTGCCTTTTTCTTAGAAATCATTAAGTTTTCCTAAAGAAGATGTCTGCAAACGATAATGTTTGGACAAAATCTCACTTAAATGCACTTGCATATATATGTTTGAATAATTCAAAAAATAATATTGAATTTTCGTGATCAACAATCAAAATGGTAGATTTCTTTACAAGCTGACATCAGTTATAGAACCAGCTGTCTTGTTTCAAGGATCAAACCCTAGGCCTACGATTCACATGGAGAACACAGAAATGAGAAATTATAGACTGTCCTACTCAAAACTGAACAACTGAATGTCGAGTGAGTTCATCTGGATGTGCATTCCTTGAAAGTTCCAAACTAGACCGAACACTGTTTGGTGAAGTTCAACAATAGCGTCCCAGGAGTCTGAACGTTCCAATAACCTTGAACGCATGCTAGTCGTCGACTGACGGCACCTATCACTATCATAGCTGAAGTATCAACGCTATTCACCAACTAAGCACCACCTAATAGCTTGTTAGGGTTAGGATTAGGGTGAAGGTAAGTATTAGGGTTAGGGTTAGTATCAGGGTCATAATTAGCATTACGGTCAGGTTTACGGTTAGGATAAGGGTTGTAATCAGGGTTAAAACTAAGGATAGATTTAGAGTTGATGTCACTTATTTTAATTTGTTTTCTTATTCACACTTTCTTGGTAAGTAGTCGTCAGTCCTTTTACTGGAAACCATAGTAATTCAGCCGAGGGCTTTTAGAGAAGACTGTACAGCAGGACAAAAGAGATAAACAATTCACAAAAATAGCTCATCTTTAGCCACATCGGTGAATACATGTAGAGAAACTAGTCTAACTTAGCAACTGATACTCCTCACTACAACTGGGACGTATCTTTAAGCTATGTCAGAGAAAGATACCCTGTTTAATGTGTTTTCATAAATTTTCTTGTAAATATACGTCATTTTTTGTGCAAAAATCACTTATTTTTATGATTGGTCGGCTGAAGGTCACTTGTGCGTTCGCATCCCTTGGGACGCTATTGTTGAACTTTGCCCACTGTTTCCCAGTGTTTCTTATTTTAGAACGACACTTTAACTGATGCCAGTTCATCACGAAATTCGCCTTAGAATTACTTGAATAACCACAAACTCAACTTCTGATTACAAATTCAAATGTATTTTATTTGTTGTGACACTGCAGTCAATGTGAAGAAATGCTAACGTACATATACGGAAAAGAAATTCTAATGAAGGGTAATGTTTGTGAATAAGATGCCATATTCATTTCTATAACAGTTTTCCAAACAGAATTTAAACGTTATTTTATTCAATTCTAATGGTGAAAGCAAAGTTCCATTTAAATTGGTGGTTATCATATTCTGTGTATATTGATACCTTGAAGATTGTAAGCAGGAGCTATCATACTCAAAATCATACTGTCGTATAGCAGTTCATTCTGTTGCATTCAAGGTAGTTTTCCATTTAGAATATATAGGACGGCAGGAACTACATGTAATCAAAGCATCGTTGAAGTCAAACAAAAATTAAAGAAATGCTTCGAAGTGGACACGCTTATTCTAATTTCGACGTAGTAACTGAACCTCAGTATCCTCAACTCAAGAGTTGCTGTCCCTGGGCATTACTATTCTTGTTATCAAAACACATTCTTCCCAGACTTGAAAGAAATAATTGCCCATTGATTGTTTGCAATCAGATGTCATTTTAACTAGAATATTGTCAACCTGTGTGGCTCTCATCTAAGTTATTCTGTTAAGAAATATTTAGACAGTGATTAATTCCTGTAAAATCGATTTGTGAACGCAGATTGCTTATGGAATATTCAACATTTATGCGTGTTGATGAAGTATACCTTTCCACATGGATATAGGATATATTAAGGCTTTACATATAAAGCCTACTATCTCCAATGATTTTCCTGATTTCCGGCGGTAGACTGGATAATGCGACCGACAGCCGGCCGGGCAAAGAGGGGACAGGTATAAAATGGACCCACACGAAAAACTTGGAGGATCTGGATTTCGCCGATGATAGATGTCTGATTTCCCACAAACTGGAAGATATGTAAGTGAAAAGCAACAAGTTGGCAGAAGAAGCATCAAAAAAATAGGCCTTCAGGTGAACATAGAGAAAACAGAGGTGATGAAGATTCCTGGACAACAGCAACAGCAACAAAAACAACAACAAGACAACAATCAACA